CCATGGATTGACCCAAGTCTTGTGAGGGAAATTGGATAGACAAAACTGTTCAGAAACCATTCATGGTTGTACTAGTACAAAGTTGCAAGTCATTGTGACTAGGGATTGAATTACTGGCCATACTCAACTACTGATTATGCCAGATTGTGCCCTCTCTCACAGAAAATACCAAAGATCCACTCCACATAATTGAGTATAGGTTAGCTCTGTTGGTGTTCAAGAAACACAAATGTGCTTGAGCAGGCACCTGCAACAAGAATCAACTAGCCAGCCCAGCAGATGGACATACTCAGAAACATGCAACCAGCTATTGTTATTAGTTTACTTCTTAAACTTTAAACTTTTGTACAACAAAAAACTCATAATACACCTCCAGCTGTTGATAAAACAACAAATACTATGTATCTTATTTTTATTTCTTTCAGTTTCTTAAAAAGCTAAAATAAGCTATGACTTAATTTGACCCCCCCACCACCACTATGTCCATTTATTGACCACTTACACCAATTTAAATAAGATTTCTTCCTGGTTAAGCATTAAATTAATCCATGGTTGTTCGCATAGTTATTTTGGGAGGCATTAAATGGATAACAAATTTATCATCCTGCTTATTCTAAACCAACAATTATTTCATGTTTCAGAGTTTGTGGAAATAAATGCTTCTCTACTGCATTGAATAAACAGTTAAGCATTAATTCTAGCTAAAACATTTCTATAACAAATGTCTTCGTACTTATTTCAGTTCAAAGTGGGGGAAAAAAAAAAAAAAACTATATGAAATCTGGTTTGGTTTATTTTGTTTTATGGCATATCAATCTCAATAGCTTGTTTAATGCCAATAAAATTTTTAGGATAGGTTCATATGAATAGAATATGTATTCTTTGTAGGAAATCAGTTTGTAGGTCAGGTTTTATTGATGTATTTTGATAAAGAGGGCTGCATTGGTTTGTTGATTTTGTTTAGCAGCATATCAACCTCTATGGGTTATTTAATGTCAAAATTTAAATATATTTGAATGCAATTTTATGGCTTCAACTGAATATATTTTGTACATAATTTTATACTTTGAGTAAAGGTATGTTTTTTTTTTTTAGATATATAGTTTCTAGATCATAAAATGTATTGTTGGTAATTTTACTATAAAAATGTTTTTATATTTTTTTAGAGTTGCAGTGATTGACTTATTTAAATTATTGTTCTTATCTTTGATTTTTATAGATATCATTATAGACATGATCTTTCAACCAAGTACTGTCTGGCTATCTTCATGTGGCAATTATTTTAGCTGCCATGGAATATGTTATATAGTGTGTTACTTTTATAGTGTTGCTTTTTAATTAATCAACACCTATCAACTATGCCACTGTCTTAATGGCATAGAGTAATCAAGTGTTGCTGTCATCTAGTGGTTGCGACTTCAAACCCTGGAGCAGGTAGTGAAATCCATATACACTGGTTTGACAGAAATCAACAAGAAATGACATCACAGAAGCAAAAATGGCCGAATAATCAACACCTACATGTTACCATATATCAGCTGAAGAGGGTTGGAAAGAAGTTCAAAACTTCAGAAAACAAAAATTATGCTCTTTAGATTGAGTTAATCAGCAGAGATTTCTTTTGGTACAAAACAGGAGAAATAATAGGAGTTGAAAATATGGATTAAATCCAATAGAATGATTAAATGATAAACAAGTCGTAAAAGTTTTAGCTTCACCAACACTTTCCCAAAAATTTATGATGAAGCTAAATTAACTAGCAAAACATTTGTTTTTCTACTTGTTATATATATCATAGTTAAGCGCTTGAAAAATATATTTCAATTGAGCACTGTTGAGAGATAAGTTGATTTTATAAACAACAGCCACCTGCACTAATGCAAAGCTCTTCAGTAAAATGAATTGGAGCCCTCTGACTGATTGGCATTTGTTTATATTTGTAAAAATGATACGTTAGAATTAGCCGTTTCTCTTTGCTGAATGATGATAGCTCAGTGGTAGAAACTGAAACCAAATCGGTCAGGTTTCAGTCCTGGCTTGAAGTATTCGGATGTCTAGTTGCACTGAGGAGCTGTGATACAGTACTGTCTGTGAATGATATATATATATATATATATATATATATATATATATATATATATATATATATATATATATATAATATATATTCAGACAGGTTTCATTAAATAATTTAAAAATTGCACAAAAAAGTTTATTCACAAATATGAAAGGATCTTATCGAAAATAAGTAGACAGAACAAGTCTAAATTATTTAATGAAACCTGTCTTAATGAAAACATGCTGCTGAAATACATGCATATGTGTGTGTGTGGGTCCATGCGTGTGTAAGAAAGACAGTATAAAGCCATAAATGTTGTCAGCAGTGAAAATCTGAAAGAAAGGACATTTAAGCCAAGCAGTCTTTGCAATGACATTTTATGTGTGTGTGTATATGCACACACACAAAAAAAATCAACCTAACACCAATGAGATCATCCCAACTAGTGCATAAACTGATTACATCAAACTTAGCAGAAAGAAAGCACAAAATGAGAAAAACAGTAGTTAATTGGTGAAACTTCCTGAAGAGTGGATTGAACAATTACCAAATAGTTAATCTATGAAACTCTAGAGTCAAAGTGCAGATAAAGCTAAATATCAATCAGCTAAGTGAAAAATTACATTTGTAATTTATATATATATATATATATATATATATATATATATATAAAAAACAAAGTTATGTCTATTATAACTTTTGAATCCAATTTTGATTTTTTTTTTTTTTTTTTTTTTTTTTTTTAACAATCTTGTTCACTCTGTACAAGGCTCGAGACCCACTTGAAGTGGTGGGTTACAGAGTAAGAGGCACAGTTTATGGGGATATGTAGGAAAGATAACAGGTGGCTCCTGAATTGAACAGGTTAAGATTGTAGGGATCAAGGAAGCATTCTCCTGGGAGTCACTTCCAGAAAGCAGCAATTCATAGGAACATAATTTTTCTTAAGATATTTAAGAAGTGTCTGCAGTTCATGTTATTTGTTGTTAAGGTTGAGAGGATTCAAGGAGATTCAATTATTATCAAGAATGAAATACATTAAAATGAGATTCAAAGCACATTTCATGATTGTATGTATTTTTATGATGATTTATGGAGCCTTGTTGAGAGTGTTGTCCATAAAACATAACTGAATTCATTTATGCGAGTCATTGCTAAAAGATACTGAAATTACCCTACTCCTGCCATGCTTTATCTTTACAAGTGTCAGATTAGAAAAAAAAAAAAACAACATGGCATAACTTTCCAGCATTGACAGAGTTCAATGATTGTTTACAGGGGAGGACAGATATCCCCACTCTACAGTCTCTTTCCCCACAGATGCAATGTTATAAATCTATCATTACCCTATTGTAAGTTCCATAGCAAATGTTCAGATGAATTCCATTCAGACTGTTACAGCCATGACACACCATGCTATATTCACAGAGTTGATTCATCCCCATTTTCTTTGTATTCCAACAATAAGGTAGAAGTTCTACTTAGACAGATTCCTCACCCTGCACCAAGAACTGTAACTTTATAGAACAGACTCCTCTGTGGATGTGTCCTGAACACTACAAGCTTAACTTCATCAAGAATCAATTGTTATCTATCGTTCTCATCATAATCTTTACTTCCTACTATCTCCTCTTACATTCATATCACATAGTAATCTTGAGTGGCTCTCAAGGCTTGTATTGGGTCAATTTATTCAAAGAGAATATTTTTTTCTGGCCATCGAGTTTACACTGACACTGAACCTCATCTTGCAAATAACCATAGAATTAGAATTGGAAATTCTTTCATAAGCTGCACAATCTCCAAACCTGTCCCCTGCAAATTTATCACTGTTTTTGCTTCATGCAACATTTTTTTATTTGGTTAGCATTTCAAACAAATTATGGATATCCAAAAATTACTCAAATTCATTGAATTGAAACTGGAATTGTTCTTTAGATAAAAAGTGATGTGAAATCATAGGTTTTGGAAAATACTTTGATAAATGAATTTACAGAAATAAAGGTTTTGTCCAAATGTGCTGGGAAGATTTGAATCAACATCATACATCTGAAAGCACAAAGCTGAAGCACAAAGTCAAGACTTGAGGAAACTAGAGGTTAGAGTAAAATAATAAACAGACAGCAGGGAGAAATGGATTCATGCCTTTCACAAAGGTATTACTATTGAATCGACAAAATCAGCCTCAGTTTAAATTTGCTATTTTTCTGAGCTGATAAGCATTATACTACTCTGTACCTCCATTTAGCACAGTGCTTCACAACCTCCCCCAATCAGTGCTTCTCTTTGGGTACAAACTTTTTTGTCAATACCTCCCTGTCAATTTTCTATCATACTGATTTCATCTTTCATGGCAAGATAACACTTAAGTATTAGTGCAAAAATAATGCTAATATTGTTTTCATTATAAATGCCAATAATTAAAATACTAAAAACAAACTTATTTGATAGCTTATCTCAATGTTTTCAATGCGATTGTTGACTTTGGTGCTTACTGGCTAAAGATCTTACTTTAGGTTCCATGTTGCTTAGAAGTAATTGTAGATCTTGTCTTGTTATTTGCAGATGGTTTCTTTGTTTAGTAAGAAGCTGTGTAACTGCATTGAAACCACATTCAGCCACACAGGAAATTGGAAAAGCAATGAAGAAAAGTTTGATAGCTTCCCACAGCTTTAGATACCTTTCAGAAATTTCCTTTTGTAGCCAATATTGAATAATTTTTTAAAAATTGCCCCCCCCAAACCCTGGATGAATGCATACTGCCCATACCTCCCCACAAAAATGAAATAAAAACTCCAAGTGTCCCCTTTCAACATAACAGAGCTCACAATGGGCACTAGTGTCAATATTAGGAAGCACTGAATTAGCATATATATGTAAATAAAATGCAGGGAGCTGTGGATTCATACTAAATAAACAATGAGAATAAACAGATACTCACTGTCCAACAAACTGAGCTCCAACATCCCAGTTTTCCTCCAGGCCATTATGACCTTTTAAGGTAACAACTCTTGTCCTTCCACCAAGGCGATCTTTTGGAAAAAAAAAAAAAAAAAAAAAAAAAAAAAAAAAAAAAGAAAAAAAAAAAAAAGAGAAATAAAACAAGATCAGAAAACTTTTTGTATATAAACTTATGCAATAAAACAAGCAACTGTGTTCACTATAAACAGATAGGTTTATTTACAAAACTTAGCTGAATACAGCAGAAGTGCTAAGTACCGAGTGAGTGTCAAGGTCATTAGAATAATTAAGCTGTCTACTAGAATTAATAAATATAGTACATGGCAACAAATATATGGCACCCAGTAAGGATTGAACTCACAACAGCTGTAATTGCCCCCTGCGCAGTCTAAAAGCACGACTGGCTTAAGGATGGTTTTCCCTGTAAGAGAGATTCAGGTTCAAGCTCACCTGGAAGGTATTTTTATTTATTGTTAAATTTCTCAAATGAACCTTTTTTCCTTTAGTAGGATTTCTCAATCTAGGCTTGAATGTCATCAATTTCGCTGTTTAAAAATAAAAAAATAGTAACACAAACATGTGTACCCACTAAAAAATAACTGCTACCAGGTAGCATTTAAGCTAGCTCCTGTAAAGGGATCTTGATTGGGCCTTCATCACAACAGATAAGGAGGAGTAGATGCAATAGGCAACAATAATCAATAGAAGAGCTCAAAATTGATTACTACATTTAAGTATTGCATTAATATTTAAGCTTACCTTTTAAAAGTTCAAAGATAATTCTTCTGACACTACTTAATTTAAAGACAATTTGAGGTACATAGGTCTTGACTTTCCGTACAAACAATTATTTTTATTTCATAGGTGACTTTTGCTGTATTTCCCAATTAATTTTGATTATTCCCAAGTTATGAAAATTGTACAAAAAAAAAAAAAAAAAAAAAAAAAAAATATATATATATATATATATATATATATATATATATATATATATATATATATATATATATATTATATATATCTTGTTGAAAATAATTGCAGTCATGAAAAACTTGAGAATCCAGAATTTCAGGATTGTGGGTCCAGATCTGGCATGGAATGTTTTAATTTGCTCATGTAGTTGGCCTGATTCCAAAATGGTATGATATGTTGGGCTACAGCCTCTAGGAGTAAAGTTGAAAACGTGGACAATTTTTATTTTGAAACACTGTAATTAGAACAGTAATTTTTTCATTTGAACATGAGCTATTGAAAGTTAGGGAGTTATGTCTCTTTAATTGGTTTTATCAGTAGAAGCCAGTATGGCGAAATCCAAAAACAATTGCAGTAATGAAAACTTGGAATTCAAAATTACAGGATTGCGGGTATGGATCCAGCCCAGAATGTTTTTAATTTGCTCATGGAGTTGGCCTGATCTCAAAATGGTATATGATATATGTTGGGATACAGCCTCTAGGAGTAAAATTGAAAAAGTGTAACACACTGACATTTGCATTTATTATATAGAAGACATGAGAGAAATCCAAAGAATGCGTTAAGTGAAATGCAATGTTAAACCAAATTTGTATGGATTTCTGGGATGAGGAGTTATAATTTACATTTGTAATGTCCTCGTCTTAGTTTTTGCTATCATAATATTTCAACCAATGTGCCTTCTGACCTTCTGCAACTGTCAAACTAAGCAACCTTCAGGGAATCTTAAGTTAAATCTTTTATTTAATCTATGGTGGTAGCTTGTTCTTGTTCTGCTGTCCATGTCTAGAGATATATTGTCTTATACTTATTATCATAAACTATTACTATTATAATTATTTACTTTAGTTCAAATGTGCATGATACATTAGTAATCATATAGTTTTGTTTTATTTTTGATTGATTTAAGAAATATTTAACCACTGCTAGCTGCGTCAATGTTTTGGAATTTGCAAAACAGAGTGGTCACTCATGGTTTTCAACTAATCTAGGAAAGAAAAGGGGACAGAGAGATATGTTCTTGTATTGTTTTGTGTTACTCATTTTTTACTTGGACTTGCATTGAGTCTGTCAATATTGTTTGTAGGATAAATTTTCTAGGAGTCTGTAAATATTTGCTATCCAGTGTTGATTCTTGCAACATAATGATGACTAAATATTTACCCAAACATACACACATCCTGCAACACTCTGGGATCCTTCATTGAATTGTACTGTACATAAAGGATGTGTAGCTCATACTGAATGTATAATTATTATATAACATTCAATTAAAATGGACAAATTTTTAATTAAGAAACAAAAATTAGAAGTCAATGCTAACACAGCAAATTCTGTTTCATCCAGGACATTAGCAAAACTAAATTAAAAAGTGTGCTGCTAAAATTAAATAAAAAAATGTTGAAGAAACATTGGTCTAATGCAGCATTACTCAACCGGATTTTCCTGGAACCCTAAGATTCCACGAGAACAGATGAGATAAACTAATGCACTTTTGACTTTTTATTTAATTTCATATACGTAATATTACTAAACACACACAATATATTCTTGGTTATTGTAATATAGACATCATCCTATCTAACCTATTATACTATTAAAAAATATAACAATCATTGAATTTTATTTAGCATTAGCAGTAGAGCCCGGCGTTGCAACAGTAAGAGATAGATCAAGTATTGACCATCATAAAGACTGAAAAATAAAATTGACAAAGATTGTTTAATGTTGACGGACACACATGTCTTAATTAGTTTTTTTTTTATGAATTAGTCAAACCCAAACAAAAACATTGTTTTCAATCGTTATGAGTCTATCGATTGAATAGAATTTTATTATAAACAATTGTAAATGGAATTTTTAAAGCATTCTGAATGTAAAAATAAAGAAAAAAGTGTGCAAGACAATAAGAAACACTACCTGCCAAAAAAAAAAAAAAAAAAAAAAGTGGTTTTGTTGACATCGGTTGAAAAATGTAGGAAATCCGATCCCATATATAAACAAACACACACACAAACAACCTGGGTTTTATAATAAGTATAACTCGATATGAGTTGTCCCCCTTTTATTCTGGTGACAGAATCGTATTTTATTGTTTTCAAATTGATTTTGTGCAAAAACTATTGTTTTTCCAATTTTTGGTGCTGTCAGAACCACCACAAGGTAATTTTATGCAGTCCTGTGATGTTTTGTTAAAATCAGTTGAAAAATGTAGGAAATCCGATCCAGTATATAAACATACAGACACATACACGCAATCTGCGTTTTATAATAAGTACGATTACCAAATAATTTGACAAAAAAGCATTAATTTTTCCTTAAACCAGTTATTCAAAAATATATACTATGATATTTACGTGAACTACGATGAAAATAAAATGAGAAAGATATGGTATATAATTTCGTTTTTGCACAGGGGTTCCTTGAGACATGTAATTTATTTGAAGGGTCATGCAAGGGTAAAAAGGTTGAAAATGATACTTTTCGCAAAAGGCAGAAAATCCGTAAGAAAAAGCGAGGCTGTGATTCTGTCAAAATTAATGTCACAATAAGGGGGTTACGCACCAATATAAACAGAATTCAGATAGAAAAACAAAGCCGGCTGACTCATGTGGCCGTGGGGAAAATTTGGCTTGGGCCTACCCTGGAGAATAGCTATTAATTATCTTTCAGAGATATCATTTAACTTTAATTCCTGATTCCAGCGAGGGAAACCATCTGGTATATGTACGAATCTTGACATGAAAAAAAAGAGAGTCGAAAAGGGGATCATTATTATTGCTTATTCAAACTATTGTCGTTAGACATAGTGCCTCGAAAATGAGCATCTGGTGATAAGAGAATTTTAAGGCATAAGAAAAATAAAGAATTTGACCACCCAGTTAAAAGTTGACTAGCAGAGAAGCCAAATGTCAGGTGTCGACAATGATTAATGAGTCGGTAGAGGCTCAGGCTAAGTGGATTTGGGTGTCCCCAAAATTACGATGTGATAAAGAATTATTTGACAATCTGGGATTTGTAAATGTTTTGGCTGAAGGAAAAGGAAAAAGAAAAAAAAAGGATTTTGTAAACATGAGGGCCAGTCTAGCCACATCCACACTGCTGAGAGATCATTGTCCAACTGGTAGCATGGGTGATAGGCAGAGGTGAATGTATGAGAAAGACAGAGAAGTTGTTAACACCCACTGAGGGGATTAGTATGAGATACCAATGTGAGAGAGGAAGAGTCTGGGAGGATAACTCTCCTCCGACCTTCCCTCATGGACGAGGGAGAAACACCTGAAATGGAAAGTGATTAGTCTTCCAAAAATGGGAAGTAATTAATTTTCCTGGCCTAAGAACAAAGAGAATTCCTGTTGGGAATTGAGAATTGTCAAAGAACACAAACCATGACAGGCCCCCACACTGGAATTGGTTGGTGTTCATATAAACAAATGTCTCGAGGCAGCTGATTAGTTTCGGCAGAGTTTCAGGGAGTTCGAAGTTCCAGACAGTTTGGGTTTGGAGTTAGTTCGAGAGTGTTGCCTCACAGAAGCTGACCAAAATATTTCCACGTCCTTTTCAACTTAGTCTTCCTACCAAAAGCAAGTTTTTATTGACGAATGACTTAAGATACCATAACTCGCTTAAGAAATGCAAAAAGTGTCACGAATCCATAGAAACGGGCCGGGAGAGAGAAACACTCCTGTATTCAACAGACAGATAAAGATAATTGTTATTTCTCAACATATTTGAACCTCGTGGGTTTGTTTTATTTTCTTTTACTTACACTTGTGCGGTATCACCTTTACCCCAGATTCAGCTTGCACTACGGCCGGATGCCTGATTGATTTCGTCTACCTAAGATCAAAATCACAATGTGGATAGGTTAGACTTGAGATCAAAGCAGTTACTTCAGTGACCAGACGTTGGAGGTGAGTTGAGAACGACAAAGCTGGTATCGAACCGGAAATGACCAGGACACAGGCTGGTGGCAGCGACAAGGAGTCAACCCCAAAACGCTGGTGGAAGAAACCTTACAGCTTTGCAGCGCAGCTGGGAGTTGACCATGGGTTAACAGCGCAGTGTCATATATCGACATCGTGACCAGTGGACGTCA